TATGTTCCATTGTTGGTTAAAATATATGAGATTACGTATTCAAAGTTAAATAATACAGATAAGAAAAAAAATGTGTGATATTACCATAATTATTCAATTATTTATTCGTTACTATTTATACACTATTATAATTTAATATTATATCATAAATATAATACTGAAACATTTTTTTGGTTATCCTGTTTAGATATAAATTTAGAAGCAAAAACGTAAAGAGTGTTCTTAACAAAATTATCAATCAGGGATTTCATTTAATATTAAGCTCACTGTTGATATCTTCAAATTATTTTGTGATACCTTGTTGTTGAAAGTTTAGATAATTCATTACAATATATATATACCCTGCTAATGAATAAAGAATATATACCTGCTCATCGATTAGAATAATTACCGATATCTTTTTTACAGTAAAAGGGAAACCTGAAATTTGACTACAGCAGAAAAAAAACGACAAATATCATTTCAATTATGCATGGTAAATTAGTACATTAAAAAAAGTGCATTTTCTCCCTCATAATTGAGACATTATATCAAATGAAAATTGTATTTGTAATTAAAATATTTTAGAAAATAAAATAAAATCGCTTCAATATGGTGTTTATAACCTTCGGATTTTATAAATGCAAAGGAAATTACACAAATTCGAAAATAGATAACATAAATATTTAAAATAATTTATCTACATTATACATCTAATAAAAATATTGAAATACTAATATATCTTATCATTATATAGTAATTAAGGCAATATTACCACATATTACTATTAAAACGTTGTGTTGCGAGGAAAATTCCACTTCATAAATTGTAAAGAAATTTATCGAATACAAAGAAGAATTGTGTTGAGGTTTTGACTGTTTACCTAAATAAATTATAAAAGGAATTTAACAGATTTGAAAGAAAGGATATAACCATTAGCAAAAAATATATCACACCATAATCGTAATATTTGAATACAAAGAAATAAAATACATGATAAACTTGAAAAGGCAACAAGTATAAATAGCATACACCATTTTGTCCAAATATAGATAACGCTTGGATGAAAGTAACTATGCCAGCCATAATCTATACCTTGCCCAAGTCCATAAATTAAAAATGAGAGAGTGAAAAGGTTTAAGGGCAAGAACTAATAGAATATACTAATAAGACTCCAGACATCAAAAGGTCCAATGCATCCATCCTGATGATTATGAAAATTAAAATACAGCGCCCGCCAACGACCGGGGGTAAATGCAAAGTGAAATCACGCCACCGTTTGGCAAAAATATGAGTGACACGGCGGGGGTCCAAAGAGCAACTAACGAGTAGAAAAGAAATATTTAAAAAAGTTACGATTCAAAAAATATATATATTCAGAAAAAAAAAAGAGAACCCCCACATTAAGTTTGAGATTCAAATTTTGAAAAAAATATCACATAACCATAAGTAAGTTTAAAAAAAAAAGTCAAAAAAAAATAGAGCAGCGAATAAAATCAAGTATAGGCCTTAACCCTCTTGGTGATGCCCTATATTTTAGATTCAAACCTTATTAAAAATAATTTAAAGCGCCGCTACGATTTTAAAGATCATCAAACAAAGTTCAGCTATAATGTTCCAAACAAAGTCGACATTTAAATAAAACATTTTAATATAATAAAAATATATAAATCCGGATGGTTGGTGAGGTTGCTTATGCGGGCGTCATGTGTGTGCATTGAAATTGGCCGAAACAGGTATTTTTCACATAACGGGGGGAATCGTTTTTGGCAATGGGGATTTGGTTTGGCACAGCGTAAGATGCAACAGGCTTGGGGCCTGTAAGGTTGCTTATGCGGGCGTCATGTGTCATTGATGAAAAATTAAAAATATTTGTTGATTTTGGCATATAAATCTAACATTTTCAACTGTGACAGAGCGAAATCCCCATTGCCAAAAACGATTCCCC